TATAAGCATAATCAAGTGTTCTGGGATTCCCATTCTTCTCAGAGTCAGCGACAGTTTGTTATGATCCACACAGTCAAATGTCTTTGCATAGTCAATGAAACACAGATAGACATTCCTCTGGTGCTTTCTGCTTTCAGCCAAGATCCATCTAACATTAGCTATAATATCCCTATTAACTACAGCCTCTTCTAAACTCAGCCTGCATATCTGGCAGTTCTCTACTGACTCACATACTCTAAGTTAAAAATTTAAGACAATAATTATAGTCCTAAGAAAAACACCTGAAGGAGTTTGAGAAGGACCTGAAGTGCTTCCTGCAAAAGGTGAAGTACTATAGTCTTCAATATGGATTGAAGCTCAACATCAAGAAAGCAAAGATTCTTATCAATGGACCAACTGTCAGCACCATGATAGATGGAGAAGAGATTGAGATGGTTAAAAATTACAGCTTGCTCAGCCCCACAATCAACACTCTTGGCACCAGCAGTCAGGAAATCAAAAGCAAATTTCACTGGGAAAATCTGCTGTCAGGGACCTCTCCAGAATACTGAGAAGCAACGATATCAGTCTAAGAGGCTAAGGTGCACCTAATCCAAGCCATGGTCTTCACAATTACTTGTCATGTATCAGAGAGCTAGACAATGACTAAGAATGACAGAAGATGAAATAGTGCCTTTGAGTTGTGATGCTGGAGAAGAGTCCTGAACATAATATGGACCACCAAGAAAACAAATTAGTCTGTCTCAGAGAGGGTGAAACCAAGCTTCTCCTTGGAGGCTAAGATTTTTAAGCTCTGTCTCACATACTTTGGACATGGGGCCAGGAGGAATTGGTCCTTGGAGAAGGACATCATGCTTGAAAGGATGGAGAGACAGTGCAGGAGAGGAAGACCTGGGTGAGATGTATTGATACAGTAACTGGGGCAATGGGGGTAGGTCAGAGTCACTGAGACTGGCTCAGGATAGGGCAGGTCAGTCGCTATGAGTTGCAGATGACTCGATAGAACATAAGAAGAAAAACATGTTAGTGTGAAAAAAAATACATATGGCTTAGAGTCTTTTCACTAATCTACTATCTAAATAAAAATAACCTTTAAAAATAAACAATGAAAAACACATACAGAAGACCACACATAACAAGTTGACTTCAAGTCTGTGTAAAGAAAGTGTATTAACAAGTTCAGATTAAATAAAAGAATTAAAACCATAAAATTGTTATAACAGAGAAGTAAAGTTTTGTGCATGGAATGAGGGATATCATTGCTGATGTCAGATGGATCTTGGCTGAAAGCAGAATATAAAAAAGATACCTAGGGAGCTCTGGTGGCCTAGTAGCAAGAAGCTGCACTGCAATCCCAGAGGTATGCAGTTTGAATCCACCAGATGCTTTGCTGGAAAAGGATGGGCAATCTCCTCCTGTACC